AAGAAATGATAATTGGATAAAGTAACAACCAAAATTAAATCTTTTAATTTACCCTTTTCTTTTTTTAAAATCGTGTAATAATAAGTAAAAAAAAATTGGTTAGCTGATTAGATTTGTCATCCATACATTTCAGTCATGCTGAAAATAATGTTAAAATTGTTTCTTTGGTAAACCTCTGCTATTCCCCAATATGGGGGGGTGTTGCGTTATAGTAAAGCCATCACCAATAAAGGGGCAAATGGCTAAATGTGTTTGTCTCGGTAGTTATATTTCCTACATCGACTACCAACAAATCAGTGCGAGCTGCTAACTACATTTTTAAATATTAAACCACATTTTTAAGAATTAATCAATCAATCTGATTTGAGATGATACTGCACCACTTGTGTAAGTTCTAAAGGCAAAGTTAATGTTGAAACTTCAATTAAACGAACCTATACCAACTTCTTCAAAATCTTCTGTTGACTGAAAGGAGCTCACATGTATTCCTCGAACCTCCTCATTTGTACTTCAGGCTTGCACTGTAAGCCGCTTGGTCCTGCAAATTTGGAATTGTAGAAAACAGTTATTTCTCCCTGAGAACCTCACCTTATATGCTGCCTCCTTACTTGTGAATAAGTCAATCTGCACTGCTGGACATTAAGATAATGGATTGACCATTTCATCTCATTCCATCTATTTATTTTAAAGTAACTGGTGGTATTAAGTTTAATTGGCTTCGGAATGAAAACAAAAAATGCACTTTTTATTAAAAAATTACGAATTTTTGTTGTTGCAAATACCTTTGTAACCAAAAATAAAACAAATGAATAAAAAATAGTGTCGGGTAATTTTCTATGTTCAAATTAGATCTAAAATTTTCAAATTAATATTACAGATCAGTGTCTTAAAAGAAGACTACCTACATTATTTCTCACTTTTTATATTGTTCCGCTAATTATGCCGGTGTGTGTATAATTTTGTGTCATACTTTTTATACCAAAACGTCTTGAAATAGCCTTAATTTTAGTTGTAGTTTATAGTTGTTTTACTTAAATTAATTTTTCAGTTTTATAAGCACTGTGACAAGTGGCAAAAGCAAGTTAAGAAAAATCCTAATACATATAAGGAACAAAAATCATTTGGCAAAAGCCATTTTATGAATGATACTCTTGAATCTGTATCTAAAAGGCTTGGACTTAATAGAACATTGAGTCTAGGTTTGTAATAACCTATGGGTAGTTAATGGCTTGCTTTGCTATTTGCTGCACTATTTATATTAACTTTATATATTTATACTGAATAAATAAACATGCTTAACATATACTATACTAAGTACCTCTATAAATGTATTTATTATGTTTATTACCTCTTAATTATATCCTTTTTTCAATATTGTTTACAAATGTTTAGGAATGATGTCACAATCAATCAAACGGGTATGTTTGTACTCTCTCCGAATGCTCGAAGTTTTTAAAAGCATGTTTTCCTTTTCAAAATTAGCGACAGTAGTATTCATAGAAAATTTATTATAACCATTCAATTCACAGTTTAGCTTCAAAGCTTTTTTCTGGTGTACGAATTAAAAATGACTATAAAAGAAAAACTTGTGGTCTGAAAATCGGTTTTGATTGTCTTGCAGATACTGTAGTCCTCATTTACAAAGTCTGTGGTTATGAAACTTCATGGCGCAAACAACATTTATCCCCATGGTGCTATGCATTTGACGGCAAGACTGCAGAGGTAATTATTACAATGGTTGTTTAAGCACTTAATAAACATCTCTAACGTGGTATAAGGTAAGGTTTTAACTGTGGTAGATTCACGCAACAGTCTCGGCCGTTGCACGAATGGGCAGGCGCTATAATAGTTTCGCGTTTCGTCTGGTGAGTGAGGTAGCCGCAGCCCAATTTTCAAAAGGTTGTCAACACGTCGCAGATGCGTTGACAACCTGGGAGTAGCAGATGTCTATGGGCGGCGTTATTCACTTAAATCAGATGAACTAGGCTCACTAGGCAACTTCTCACATAAAAAAATGGGTAATATGTAAACTACTAGTCAATATTTACAGATAGGTGTTTTATATTATTTAAATGATTTTTGGAAATGGACCAACCCCCATCTTCACACCGTCACTGATATTGTGCTAGAATATTGTTATTAATATAGTAAGAAACGTTTTTTTAATGTGAAAAGGCAAACGATCTGGCGGTTAACCTGAGGTTAAGTGAGAACCGCCGCTCATTGACATTTGCATCACCCGTAGGGTTGCATATGCTTTGCCACTTTTTAACCAAAGTGGGCCCCGGCTACCTCACTCACCTGAAGAACTTTATACTTCTAACACCTCCAATTCACGCCAGTGATCTGTGAGGTCGCGGTATTTACAACGATGGACCTGTCCATTTGTGCAAACAGCGAAGACTTGCGTGGCCCTACCACAGTACCTACTTGTTTATTTAATATTATCACTTGTACTTTCAGGTGTTAGAGTATTATGTAGACTTGAAGCATTATTGGTTAGATGGCTATGGGCACAATTTAACATATCGTCAAGCTTGCATGTTAATGAAGAATTTATTTGAAAGGTTTAGGTAAGATTCATCTATTTAAATTTTTTATAGCGCTAAACCCTGCACTTAAGATTAAACATTAAAATTTGAAGAAAGAGTACGAAAAGTTGTGGGAATCGAACCCACGTCTTCGGTATTCGCGGCCTGACGCTCTAGCCACTGACCTAAACGGCTGATTGCCACACCGACGAAAATCTTAACGTCTTTTATCTACATTGTTTTTAGCATTTAAAGTAATGATTGGCCCATCCGTTGTTATATCCTTTCCAGTATACAAAGAATTTTGAATATCGTTTTACAACGATAATTCGAACGAGATATGTCGCCATTGCTTTTACTTTTATAAATTTAAATTGTTTATAGCGCTAATCTCTGCACTTAAGATTAAACATTAAAATTTGTAGAAAAAGTACGAAAAGATTATCGCCGCTGTGGGAATCGAACCCGTCTCCGGCATTCGCGGCGTGACGCTTTAGCCACTAAGCTAAAAGGCTGATTGCCACACCAACGAAAATCTTAACGTCTTTTATCTACATTATTTTTAATATCTTTTACACTCATATCTTTTTTTTTAAACTGTGATATCAACTGTATCATCATACGATTATAATTTCTAACTCAATTGTGGTATGAAATATCACTTTGTAATGCAGTATTCTTGAATATGCCAATATGCATCTATTTGTATGCTTCATCACTTTTATGTCTATTGTCCGTTGATTATATTATTATTATCATGAATATTGTCCGTTGTCTACACAACATAAATAAAATTTATATAAAAGTAATATATGTTTTTTATGTCTAGAGGGGAAGGTCCGGACGCTACCTTCCTGTTTGCACATTCGGGGACGCTCCTAAAGCTGTTAACGCATTTGCAACTTTATAAGTCTGAAAGTCCACTTACTGGGGATGCCCTAAACCTTAAAAGGACGTGGCGCGCCTCTAATATCGATGGCTTCGCGTCTAATTTAGCCTTTGTATTATACAAGTAAGTTCGGAAGTTACCCTTACTATTTTTGCAGTTCAATTCGAATATTATATAGATGTAAATTCAAAATGTTAAAATTCACTTATTATTATCGCAACTAAATCTTTAGATGTAGATGAATTCTTCGCCTTGTCTGTTTATTCTGCCTTACAAAATTTATCTTCGAAACGTAGTAGAAGAGACGTACAAATTTACTTCAGTCACTTTTTCTTGGTATTTTTATCATTACAATCTTATTCAATTTAGTAGTGCCACACAACTTCTGCTGTTGAACGAATGGGCAGGCTCTTTCGGGATTTTTATGTGAGGAGGCGGTAATTCTGCTTATCGTCTGGTGAGTGAAGTAGTCGGAGCCCTATTAAAAGATCTGCAACCCTACGGGCGTTGGAAATGTCCATGGGAGGCGTTTATCACTTAACATCTGACGGGCCGCCTTCTCGCTTACCAGCTTCTCACACAAGGGTTGTCACAGTTTTGAGCGAGACATTTCTGGCATTAATAATATTCTAAGGCATTCTCATAGGTGTTTAGATGGTGATTACGTGTTGACGCTCCATCAGGAACGCGTCATCAAGCTGCCGATGTGCGAGCAGGAGCTATGTTCCCTCAACAAGTTATGGGACTACTTTGGAGATTCAATTAACGATTGTAATATTAATGACATGTGCCGACTGAATTGACGTGCATAGGGGCACACGATTTTTTAAGTACCAAAGTTTATTGGTACTCTAATATGCTTTTGGCAGTTTATTATAACCTAGTGTTAAAATTTATTATAGTTGCGCTTTGAATAAAATGTTGTGTTTACATGATTTCTGGTTGTTTTAATTTCATCATGTCGTTAACAATTACTGAAAATATATATTTATGACTAGCGGTCTCGGCAGACATTGTCCAGTTCGAAAGTTGGAATAAGCTGACGTTTTATACGATATTCGAATTATCGACAAGCTATGTGATAAGTGACATGTTGATATTCCAGTATTGGATCCTTCCAATACTGGAATATTAACGTGTCGGTCGACGAAAGTTTATCAAAAACTTTTATATCAAAAAATGGTATTTATAGCGCATCTCCAAATCCTAAGGTATTGTAGGTGCTCATGGGCAGCGGTAATCCCTTAACATGAGATGAAAAAAATATATATTTCTGGAACCCGATGTCGGCGCCATTTATCGGAACCAATTGCCAATCTAAATCATCCAGGAACCTGTTCAAACACAAAAAAATTCAAGGTAGGTCGAGACGTTTAAGTTTTCAGTAATGTCACACGTACAGGAGATGGCAACGATGGTGCGGCGGCTAGGACATCAAGATCGAGATCTAAGGTCGTGGGTTGAATTTCGATTGGTATGTAACAATGACTTCTGTTTTTTTCCTGTCACTGACTGACCTGACAGTTATGAGTCTAAAAGGCAGCTTCACGTCGCGGCTCCGATGATTACGAGATCTTGAGAGCAGGGCGAAGTCTACAGCCACTAGCTGTCAGTAAACCAATCGTAGTTCGACTCTATCAAAAAAGGGACTATAGGATATAAATAATATAATGCATAATGTGAATAGGATAAGTGCAATATGAATTAGATAATTCAGAATTGCTAATTTATTATAATAATCTGAAGTTATTCTTTTCGCTGCAAAGAAACAAAAAACTGATCCTAAAAATCGTGCTAAAACACCTTTGTTAGGATCAAATATTTTTTCCTGTGCTGGCATCTCGGGTTGCTCAAGTATATTGATTTAAAAGCGAGCGCCCGGACAATGAACTATCGTAGCTCTTTAATTCTATATGAAATAATTTCTGAATGTTCTTTTCTAAAATGTTCTTGTCAATGGGCGTTATTGCCCGGTTAGAGGTTAGGTAGATAAGTTGATATAGGTTAGATCTTCAAAATTGATTATATTAGATTTAGTATTATTTTAAACTTTTTATTTCTAATAGAGTTTTTTAAGTCGATTCTTTTTTGTTTTTTTTTTATTTGGTAGGTATATAATTTTAACAACGTAGTATGATTTTGCATGTACAAAATAGTTAAATATGACGAGGTTATGCAAATCCAAATACTTATGAAGATAATGTAATAAATATTATGAGAAACATTCTAGACTTAATTTCCGTAGTCAAACAATTTATCTCGCCCACCTATAAAACATGACAGTCTTGAACTATTGTTACTTTGTATGTTGCTTTACGAGAAAATGTCGTTTCTGAGAAATCGTAAAATCTTTTTGAATTATTAAAGGACACTGGAAAATTGTAATATTTCTTAAAGTTATTTACACCTATGTATATATATAATAAACGCATTGCTTCAATCTTATAGAGTTTTAGTACCTAAGCGTGGTTATAAACTTCAATTAATACGTCTTGTTACTATTAAGTGGCTGTGGTAATTTTTGAATATGCTATAATAAAATTATAGAACAGGATCCGGTGCCTTCCGGATTACGCATCCAGCCACTAAGCTAAGGGGTAGATATCCTTTATTCTCGTGTGGTGAGGTGATTCAAGTTTCACCTTAAGTGCTGAGACTAAAAATTATTCATATTTATAAAATCTTGTATTCGAGTTAATACATTGATGCGTTACTCGAATCTAAAATAAGCTGGTGAATCAAAACAATTGCAGCTCTGTGGTAAAATGTCAACATAACATTTCGAATACCTAATCATTTTAAAAGTGGTAGTAGTATTAAAGTATTATTTTATTGTCATTAGTAATTGTTATTGGTTAAATACAGTTATTAGGAGAACTAAAAGTAAACATATACATATGCCTATATTTTAAAATGTTAAGTATTTTTATTCTCGTACCTAAAGCTACAGTAACATCAAGCAATTACGGATAGGTCCGGGAATCGTTTCCGTCGTAAGCACACGTCATTTTCACGCGCCGTTTCCCATCTTTTATATACTTTGGGTACTTTACCGTTTGAAGACCCTTCACAATGGATGTAATTTAACGTACCAAGGTCTTTTGCATTATCTGTTCATCGTTAAGTTGTAACAAGATAAAATATTTAAATAGTAAATTTTATTCGGTAAAAAAATCACTAATGAAATAATCAACAAGCAAAATTCGGCGGTCGCTTATAGTTTTCGAGAAACGGAAGTACCGTTTTGGTTCGAAAACCTATACGGTAGTTCCCGTTGACCCAGAATCAGGAAATTTGGCAAAAATCAATACAAATTACAAAAAATTAAAAAAAAAAGTTGAAAATTAAAATGTACCCATACATACATAGTTAACGCCAATTAAGATGGTCCTCTGTGTTGTATGGGTGCTCAATCAAATATAATTACATTCTAGATATTGGTACGGAACCCTTCGCGCGCGAGTACCAACTCGCACTTAACCGGTTTTTTGAAAACATTGCTAAGTAATCGATATTTAAATCTTTGCCCGATAATCATAATATCAAATGTGTTCATAATTTCCCAAATTTCATGACTCTCCTTTTTATTAGTTATGCGTTAGGAATAAGGTCTTTTCGGTTTTTTTCTTATTAAACTTCACATGGACACCACTCAGGTCTGGAATAATTATCTGTGGGTACCACTAACAATACCTGATCTGAGTGGCAATCGAACCCACGGTAGCCGGCGGCGAAATCAATAAATAGCAAATTTAGGCATAAGCATTTATTGTGCACTTTGATGGCAAAATTACAAAAAAGATGTGTATTTAAAGACTCCATAAAGACTTAATATCCTCCTTTTGAAGTCGGTTAAAAAGGAAAACGGTGACAGTCAAGTTGTATGTTTATTGTTCATCGTCAAAAAAAAACCCCTGAACGAAGATGTTTTCCCTTATTGTGAGCGTTTATTTTTCTTATCGAGTGAATGTTTATGCTTTGATATAATACACTGTCTTTCCTCAAAAAAAAAAAAAAAAAAAAAGAAACGACATCTAATTGTTTCGTTAAAGTATTAAATTAGTAATAAAAAAGGTAACAAAATTAAAATAAGGTTGTCTTCAAACTCATAAAAAACATTTTTGAGTTTGATATATCAATAGATTATATATAGTAAAGCCTGGTTTTAAGAAATTGAGTGTGATTAAAATAGTTCAGCGAAGCTACGTGACATGTAGTTAGTAGTTCAACTCACAAGTATGATGCACACACATATACAAATGGTTGAACTTTGCACAACACATCGCCTTTCTGAAGGAGGCTTTTACCCAAGCATTGGAAAATAATACGAAGCTGAAAGCATTAAGGTTTAATATACAAAGGCCTTAGTATTCCACACCGTTTCCGGAGGTAAAAAAAGGCCTAAAGAGTTGGCTGACTGCTCATCGGCGTACATCAGTTCACAGCTAGACAAAGAGCCCTTTGAAAGCTCTCTCTTGACCTTAATCTGTTAGCTTCTACATGTATCTGTTTTATTTCAACCGTATTACAAGGTCGATATTACATTTCGCTACTAAGTAGGTATTTTTTACCAATAAGTGTAATTATTAATTTTATTTATAGAACACAAAATCCATGTTTGTATTTGAATGTAGAAAAGTATTTGGAGAATTTACGTTAGTTACTTCTGTTAGAAATAACATGTTCTAAATGTCTATAAGACTTTTTTATCATGGACTGTCATGTCTTCCTTAGTATTCTAATTGAACATTTTTTGTTGAACATTGTTTGGTTACATAGAGATCAAATTACCTCATAACGTTTTAAAACATGATACAATTTACTGTACTATAATTAAATTTCGTGATTTCTAACCCAAGAACTCGTTATATATATAGTTAAATAATAAAAGTATTTATTTTCACAATACTCGTGCAAAACTTACTATTTAAGGTGCTGTTAGAGCCAATGTGTTTCTGTGTTCTGTTTTAAAAATCCGTAGTAATATAATATGCCAAAGTTGAGAAGTAAAATACAATGTTGTGACATATCGCGGTCGAGCTTGAGATACTTTGTAATTTTATAGGACTTTTCGAAATAATGATGCATAATAGGCTATCATAAAATTGTTTTTAAATGTTTAATAGGACAAACACTTATGGCTGCAGTAATATTCGATCAACATTCCATGGTCAGTAAGTTTTTGTTAATTAACGAGACACGGGAAATAGTTAGAAAGCATAAGAAATTATAGACATGCCAATGAGGATTACTTTAAAAAGCAATTATTTTTGACAATGAACCCGGCCGCAGAGCTAAAATCTCAAGCAAGTCCTGCCTGACAAGAAGCTCCAAGTTCAAACCCTGCATACATAAAATATATGTGAGAAGGAGCTGAAGGATCACCTAATGTTAAGTGATATTTGCAACACCCGTAGGGTTGCAGATGCGTTGTCACTTTTAAATAAAGTGGGCTCCACCTATTTCACTCACCAGACGAAACGCAGAAGTACAAAACTTCTTCTTCACGCTGGTCTTCTGTGAGGTTAAGGTATTAACCCAAACGTACCTGCCCATTCGTGTAACCGTGAAGACTGTTGCGTGGCCGTGTTTTTTTTCTTTTTTTTATGGGAGGAGCAGGGATATGTGGGAGTCCTAGTCAGAAACGGGTACCCGCTAAAAACCCTCGTTCCACCTGTCTCTGTGTCTGTCGCATCAGCCGGGGACACGGGAACACGAAGACGCAATTCCGCGACCCCTGCACGACTATGGCCTCCTCTTCAGGGGTGCTAGACCACCCAATCCGGCTAAATGGTGCTCC